ATTTTGGTTAAACCTAGGTAGTAAAATATGCATTCATAAACACACATATGCCTGCTTAATGCTTGGTCATTAAAATGAAAACCTACCTAAAGTTTATATATATCAAAATTGATACCCCAAAGGCATTTTTTTTGGTTTAATTCTTTAATGTCTTGAACATTGTTTTATAATAGTCTTGGAAATTCTTTGGTTATGGTGTTTATGTTGGCTTGTAAATAAACATTTGTCCCTCTGTCTGGGTTCCATTAGGCCAGGAAAGTCTACCTTAATTCTTAATTGACAAACTCGAGTTAGGGTGATCTAACTCAGATGCTTTTTATGATTTAAAGCCCAGGTCTTTTGGGTAGGTACAAACTATTTCAGAACCTTGATCTTTCCCCTCCCAAGAATGTCTTATGAAAACTGACTTTCTGCATTTCAGAATATTGAGCTTTAGAGTAGTTTTTAAAATGGTCCTGGGAATTGAACTCAAGGCCTCATACTTGCTAGGCAAGGGCTCTACTACTAAGCTATAGCCTCTGCTCCTTTTTAATTTCTGAGTTTGAGGTATATACAGGTCTTAAACTTGTGATCCTCTTTGGGATTACACACTTGTACCAGCATGGTAGGTGAATTTTAAGAGTATTTTAGAGATCATAGAAACATTAAAAATGTAGTTCTCCAAAGGTTAGAAGTTAACCAAACAAGTTACTAGTTATTTCATATTTGTTTTTATTTTTTCACAGATTAGTTATTTTACAGCCAATGCAAAGTTGGTTTGATAAGCAGTGAGCTGCTTCTAATTCTCTGAACCCATACTGAGGTGAATGAAAAATAGATCAAACGATTTGTATTTCACATTAATAATCCAAGAGAACTATGGAGAAGAAACCATTAGTAGATTTTGCATTATATTATTCATAACAAACTGCAAACCTCCCACTCAAGATAATTACTGTGGGAACAAAAATCGGAAATAACCTTGAAAATTAGTTCTTTTATGATCTTAGGTGTCTTTAAAACATTGGAAAGATAAGCTCTAGAAACTTAAAGGCACACGTAAATTTAAACCAGTAAAAACCTGGCATAATGCAGGCATATCAACAAATTTACACATTGATTATGTGGCGACAGTAACATTAATCTTTAATTTTTGAGACAGGTTGCCAAGAAAAGGGCGATGCACAGCCACTTCAGCCTTGTGCGAGCTTATGTGCGTATGCCTGTGCCTTCTGCCTAAGAAACTAACCGCGGGGTTCTGAAGCAACCTCAGGGTGTCCATGTTCTGGACAGGAGAGGGCAGGTGGCCCAGGAGGTTGCTGAGAGCGTTGTCCCTTTCTAGTGCTCTGCCTGGTAGCGGGCATATGGCGCTGCCTCCTTACCTTGCCGGGAACCCCACGGTGGTCAGTACTGCCTTGCCAGAAGCGCCGGCTGTAGTTTGTGATGTAACCAACTAGCTTGTCCTGGTAGGGGAAGTCCACCTTCCAGATGAGGGACCCATAGCCAAACACCCACATCTTCCTGGACCCCTGCCGGTAACCCGGCGGCGTCAGAACAGGACTACTGCTGACGCTAGTAACCGGCTGCTCCAGACAGCGCAGGCGCGCTGGCCACACCTCATGTGGGGCGCAAAGCACATTGGGGTTGAGGTCTCCGGTTCTGTGGACCCACAGATCTTTTTGCAGCCTCGCAAAGTAGAGGGGCGGGGGCGGGGCGTGGCGGGGTGGGGGGAACTACATTACCCACAAGTCTTCAGTGACGATGACATTGGAGCAGCTTCCTGTCCCCTGTTTTTTCCAGGAAAGAGTGGGGGGAAAAGGAGAAAGGCGGTGCTGCTGGCTGGTGCTGTCTTATAGGACACATGTACCGGCACCGCAGTTGGCACGTAGGCATTTTGTTGTGATTTGAAAATTGGCTAGCTGCCCATGTATAACTGCTGCCAGAGTAACCGAACCCGGAAGTGCAATCCGTATATGACCTTAACAAATCCTCTGTCCTTTTGCCTTTCAAATAGAAGCAGAAATTTTAACAGCAGTAGTTTTATGTCTGAGAAAGAGCAACTAGATTCTAGTGGAAGCTGCTTTCGTGTATTTAAACTGCTAAGAAGAGCCGTGTTCATAATTAATGTTTTTTGTATCTCAGAGAAGAGCATTACTTAAACTCCACAATTGGCTTTATAATGCTGAGTAGTTAGTTTCCCTTTCTCAGATCAATGGGTACTGTTTTGTTTGTCAATGGGAAACTTGGAGGATGGTGTGTATTCTTTACTGGGCACTAGCATGGATTGTTGAGGAGGGTCTTTACGTTTAGATTCAAGTGTACTGTTTCTCCCGGATTTCCTTCTTAGCTCTTTGAAGTTTTTGTTTTTGTTTTGTTTTTCCATTCCCTCCCCTTCCAGGTAGCTTTATTCTTGCAGAACTATGGTAGGGCATCTTAAATTTTAGTTAAAAAGCAGTAGTAGAAAAATCTGTAGACTCAGAGGTGACTATTGGGAAATCTTTTTTCTTAGTCTTCCTTTGGGTTTTTTGTATTCTTCAGATTATATTATGTATTTAAATTGCTCAGAAATTGAAAATTAAGTGACAAACATACACACACACTCATATCCTGTCCCCTAAAGACCAAAATGAGTTTTGTTTTATGTCTTTGATTGGCTAATGTTGCCATAAATGTTGTTATAGTGGCTTAAAGAGTAGGGAAACAAAACAACTCTCAAGTTGCAGGGGTTTTTAAGGCATATATTCCAGGCAAAGGTTGTTAACATTAAACTCATACACAGGCTTTTGAAAGAAGCTGAGGAGCCAAGTACTGGACTGTAGAAAAACTGGCTTGGATGTGCATTTTACTGGAAAGAAACATGTTTCATGAATCTCTTCATGAGGTCAAGCATCATAAGAAATACTAGGGTCTGTTGGTTAGTGTTATTCCTCACTTGAACCATCATGGCTCTGTCGGTGGGGGGTGGGGTGTAAGAACAGAAGAAACCTTAATGACTGCCCTTTTTTGAGGATTTCTGTTTCCGATTGTTAGCATTATTAGAGAATACTAGCACACCCCGGGTTAGAGAGTATTTCTTGAAAAATAGTCATCAGAAAGGCCAATTTAAGAATAATGTAGCCTTTTCATAGTTTTTCTGAGTGGTGGCTTAACAATGCCTGGCATAGTTATTTTTCTTAACCTCTTGGCTGTCATTTTTCTTACATACCTCCATCATTTGGAAAAATTCAGATACACATAAAAGTTTATAAAAGTGTAGTTATTATACATATTCATTGTCATTAGTGAGCTTGTCATGATTAGTTACCAAAATTTAAAGCATTTGGAGTAAGTTGCATGTGTTATGACACTTTTTGCTAGTAAATATTCCTACAGAATCTTTAAAAAATATAAGAAAATTGTAGCATAAATATTCTATATGCAAATTTCTTTAGTTATATAAAAATGTTTTGGAATCACTAGAGCATAGGTAGGTGTTACAAAAGGATGTGTCTTATAAACAGCTCATGTCAACTAGCTGCCATTAGAGATGGAAAGGAAGGCTGCTGCTCTTCCAGCAGATTTTTCCTGGACTCATCTTTCCTTTAAGACGTTCAGAGATACTACTAGGTTATTTTTTTCAGGTTATGATATTTTACCCTGAATTCATTAACACTGTTGGACAGAGATTCATACCTACCTATTTTTACTCAAATGCTGTTTAAATATTTTTAAAGTTGAATCTTTGTGTATGTGTTTTCAGGATAGAAACACGGTTTCTTTTATTTAAATGAACACATGTATAAATTATCAGTGTGTTATTTGTTTTCTTTTACATGTAATTATTTTGTCAAAACATTAGTGTGGTTCAGGGAAGTGTAGGTTAGCATTCGGTAGCCTCCAGTTTAGCCTTAAGCTACCTGTGTAATCTTATTTTTCTACTGTTGTCTGTCTGTGTAGTCCTTCTTCCAAAGTGACATGCTTGTCTTACTCTTTTTCTCCTTCCCTTGGCTATGCACCTCCTTTTTTGTTTATGATTTTCCAACTCTGTCTGGGAACGCTCTTCTGCCTGTTGTCTCATTTTGAAATCTTCCCTGTTTAATATGGCACAGCTCACTTCTCTCACCAAGTGGACATAGATTCTTTAATGTATATGGCTTTCAATCTGTTCTACTTTTATGAAACTTTACATTATCTGTGTTGGACCACATATATTTATCATGCCTATGAGTTTGTAAACAATTTGAGATAGGATCTCTGTGAGTGTATAGTCCTCATTGCTATTTATTTAGCTGGTGCTTAAGAAATAACTGCTAATTGAGCAATTGCATGTCTGCTAATATCTTCACTTACTGCAATGGTCCTTTCGATTCCACTAGATTAATTCATAGCTGACATTAGCTGTTTGGCATAGTGTAGAATCAACTTCTACTGTCACAGTTTTATTTTAAAGTGACCATGCATAAGTTTATTGGAACTATTTTATGCTTGTTTTTAACCTCCTTCTAAACTTTTTGGATAAATTACTTAGCATATGGCTTTAGGAAGTATTGGGCTAGATATATTGGCATTTTCTGACAATCGTCCTCCCAGAAGGACCATTAGGAAAAATCAGAAGTGGGATGGGAATAGTACTGTGAAGGTTATGTCTTAGAAGATAGCTGTTTCTCTGAGAATCCTGAATCTCAGTCCAACATATGCTAATAGTTTATAAGAGTCATATACTGACATCTATGGGGGTAGTAAAATGGGATTCACAAATGGTGGTTAATACTAGAGTCTCTGCATTTTGGTGTGTTGTGAATAAGTAGTCCATGGGAAAGATCTGACAGAAATTTCCAGATGGGGAAAGGTTGAACAGTAGAAACTGCCTTGATATTTTAAATAATATTGCTAGGAACTGGCATGAGAGACATGTGGTTGGGCTATAGCAGAGGTTGTGTGTGGCATGACAATTTCTCATATGAGATGTTAGATAGGCCCACTGTGATGTGATATCAGTGTTGTTTTATTGACTAGTACTGTCTTTCGGCTTTGTTTTATAGACTAACCAAAAGAATGGATTTTACAGAGGCTTACTCAAGTACATGCTCTGCAGTTGGAATTGCTGCCAGAGAAGGCAATGTTAAAATTTTAAGGAAACTGCTCAAAAAAGGTCGAAGTGTGGATGTTGCTGATAACAGGGGATGGATGCCAATTCATGAAGCAGCTTATCACAACTCCATAGAATGTTTGCAGATGTTAATTCATACAGGTAAGTAAATGCAAGGCATGGGAGGCTGTGTATGTAAGCTAAAATAGTAAAATAAAAAGGTGGTAGTAAAGTGGTAGCACTTGTTTCCTTTTCTGTAATTCTAAAATAAGCACCTCTCCTATTAAGGATGGTAATATTTCTGCCTTGGATGGTGTTCCATCCAGACATCTATGAATATTGTCCTTTATGTGGAAGTATTTGTACTTGATTTACTTATTTTACATTTATTTATTTACGTACTTATTATGTACCAGGGTGTGCCAGTGGAGGTCAGAGGATAACTTGAGAAAGCTGGTTCTTCCTTTTCATCAAGTGGGTTCTGGAGATTCAATTTAGGTCATCAGGCTTGGCAGCAAATATCCTTGCTCTCTAAGCCACGTCACTGGCCCTTTTGTTTAATGTTGACTTTTTTTTTTCCTTTTGAGAGCAGGGTCTTACTATGTAAGTCTGGCTAGCCTGGTACTCGTTATGTAGAGTAGCCTGGACTGGAACTCAGAGATCTGCTTGCCTGTTCCTCCTGAGTGCTAGAATGAAAGACATGCTCTACCATGCCTAGCCCCTTTATTTTTATTAATTGTGCTAGGTGTTGTACAGTAGTTTGCTGTTTTAATTTCAGCATTTGAAAATTACTCATAGTAGGTATTCTTTTGTCTGGAAAAGGAAATGAATCAAGGACTATGCTATTAGTGTTCTATTGGACTAATCTTTTTAAAGCTAGTTAAAGCGCCTGTCTAGTAAAATGAAAAGTACTTATTTTTTGTATGAGTGTTTTGCCTGTATGTATGTATGTACACCACATGCATGCCTGGTGCCCTCAGTGGTCAGAAGAGGAGGCTAGATCCCACAGATGGTTATAAGCCATTGTTTTGGTGGAGGGAATCAAACTCTGGGTTCTGTTAAGAGCAGTGAGTTCTCTTAACCACTGAGCCATCTCTCTAGCCCCTAATCTGTTTTTTTTTAAAACACGTTTCATTGTCTTTACTTTTGAAAGCCTTCCAATTACTTGTACTTTATATATGCAGTACAGCATGGGCCAGAGAACCTGCCTTTATAGTACTTGAATTGTTAGGGGACATAGATAAGAAATAGATAAAAATACCAACAAGCAGGATTGTTTCATTTTTGACAAATAAAAGAAAATGGAAAGTGATGGTGTGGTATTGCACGTATTTTATAACTTTACATATGGAATGCTTAAAACTTGAACTATACTTGGTAGTAGCCAGTGCTGTCAACCTGGCTTCTTTCTCTGGGGACAGCTCATGAAGTGTAACCGGCACTCCACTGAGTAAAAGGTCTGTGCTGGAGAGAGGGTTATGAAAGATAACTACTGATGATGGAGTGCTGTGGTCTAGTTCATGTACCAGATGCTTGATTTACATTATTTATCCACTGTTAGAGGCCACACATGTTACACTTACTGTTAATCCCACTGGCCTAGACTAAGACCACTACCACATTTTTTTCAGCCACATTTGAAGCAAACTTTATTAACGACTGACCAGGACGATGGACACTGGCCAGGTCCATACACAGGTTTCCCATGGAGTGGCAGTCACCTTAGTCCCAGTGTTTCTAAAGGCAAAATCTATGAGGCTATGCCTTTGTCCAGTTGGTTGCAAGCATATATCCTGATGTACTTCCTGCTCAGGTACCCCTCAGCTACATGTGATCAAGCACATCCTGTGCAGTTGGGGCAACCAATCTTGTTTACAGAAGTGAAAATACGTGGCTTGTCTTACATCAACAGCAGCCCCCAGCATTCCAGGAAGTTATCTGCCCTTGGACAAGTGGGGCTTACAGGTTAGACACATTTTTTTGTTAAGATCTCTTAAGTACAGTAATTAAAACTTAAAACACAACTTTAGCTCTCACACTGTCCTCAAAAGTTTTGTTTGGATTGAGAAGACCAAAACTCAGAGAAGTTGACTTATCTAAGGTTAGTTACATAAGAAACTAGTTTTTTTGGTTTGAACCCATTTCTGTCTGATTCTGTTCTTGTTTCTTTTTCTACCATACCATCCTTCTAATACCGAACAGAAGTAAACATTAATAGCATTTAGCTAATTTTTTTGAGACAGGGTTTTTATTTAGGAGCTTGCATTCTGATTCACCCTCTGTCCATTTCCCAGATGCTGGGATTATAGACATGTGCCATCACACCAGGTATATTCATCTGATTTCAAGTGAAGATGAGTATAATTGTCCATCTGCTTGACACAGGCTTTTCCCACCTTTGTGATAGGCACTTTTAAGATTTGGCCTCACCAAATTTAGCTCAATTACTAAGATATGGTTCTGTTCTTAATTCTAAATTCATTTTCTACCAAGAACCATGTAGTTTTAGTTTTTCTCTTAGTGGTCATTAAAACCCCAAGTAACAGTTTCCTATCTGTCACTGTTAAAAGTAATAAGCTAGCTTATTATTTATAAGTAAAAGTTACTTTGTGTCAGCAGATGTATAGGGTATGGTGTCATTGATGAGTGTTTGGTCTCACTCTTGTCACTGCTGTACAGATGGCTGAGACAGGCTCAGCTCACAGTCCCAACTCTCAGGTGACATCAAGAACTTACAAGGTTATGGAAGACCTTTGTGATCACAGTGCTTGCCCATTAGGAAGTCTTTCATGCCTACTTTGTTTAGTAAGTAGATGAGGTGCAGAAACCACTCTGCCTTCAATGGAAAAATGAATAGAGGCTGAGGCATTAAAAACTGAGCCATTTTCTTCAAGTAGTCCTCTTGTCAGGAAAGGAAGAAAGTCAGATAATACAAAACTGAAAGGTTTTATTGTTGTAAGGGAGCCTTGATGCTGCAATGATAAACGGCACACTTATTGAAAGTATAAGTATTTATTGTAGAAATTACTCACAAGAGACAAACAAGTAACCCAGATGAGCCTAGTAGTTTTCCACCGCTGAACTGGAAGCCTGAAAGCCGGAAAAGAGAGTGAGACTTAACGCTGTTCAGTCTTTTTACCTTCCTCTGTAACACCCCTAGCCATGCCCAAAAATGGGCCTGGCTAGTGACGTAGTTCACCGCCTACATCCGTATACATCTTTAGTCATGCCTAAAGTGGGTGTGGTTAGTGGTGTGGTAAACCGCCCTTTTATTACCTCATCTGTAGTCACATGTCTAATGGCGGAGTTCTGTTTTCCTCCTACAGAGCCTGTTAATTATTGGAACTTCAAACCAATTTAGATTGGGTTTCAAAACTTCCCCATCTCTCTAGAGTCTTACTCACATGTAGCCCAGGTGAGTCTTGAACTCACAGTCCTCTTGCTTTAGGATACCTAGTGTTGGAATTGCAAGTGTGCAGCCTTGTGCCTGGCTGAACCCTTCTTTAAGTTATTGTTGTTAAGTGTGCTTGCATGTGTGAGTGCGTGTGTGCGTGCGTGCGTGCTTGCGTGCGTGCGTGCGTGCGTGCGTGTGTGTGTGTGTGTGTGTGTGTGTGTGTGTTTGAGAGGCTGAGTATGCCGTGGTGCATGTATGGCAGTGGACAACTTTGTGGAGTTTGATTTCTCTTTCCACCAATACATGGTTCCCAGGATTGACCTCTGGTTACCAGGCTTATGTGGCAAGTGCTTTTGCCTACTGAGCCATCTCACTGTTAACTTTGTTAAAATGATACTTTGGAGACTTACTAAAATAATAACAACTCCTTCAGTATAAAAAATGTAATGATTACATATATACCCGCATTCATTGTTTTATAAAATTCCAAGTTTTATAAAATTCTATGGACTGCCTAAACTGAATGTTTATCCTTGTTTCATGGTGTCATAGCACTCCTACACATGCAGAGTGACACAGCACACACAGGCACGGTGTCACAAAATTCACATGCACAGTGTCCATTGGTACACTAGGGATAAATACTGGTTCCACTGCCAGAGGTCCCATAGACTGCCCAGGCCTCCTAACTGACACCCACATTCAGGGGGCCAGGTTCAGTCCTGTGCTGGTTCCCCAGCTATCAGACTGGGGTCTGTGAGCTTCCACTTGCTCAGGTCAGCTGTTTCTATGGGCTTCCTCAGCATGATCTTGACCCTTTTGCTCATCTCTCCTCCCTCTCTACAACAGGATTCCAGGAGTTCGGTTCAGTGTTTAGCTGTGAATCTCAGCTTCTGCTTCCATCAGCTAATGGATGAAGGCTCTATGTGGCATTTAAGGTAGTCATCATTCTCATTATAGGGGAAAGGCATTTAAGACAGCCTCTCCACTATTGCTTAGATTCTTAGTTGGGGTCGTCCTTGTGGATCCCTGGATATTTCGCTAGTGCCATGTATCTCATTAAGCCCATAATGGCTCTCTCTATTAAGATATTTAGGTCTTCCTTCTCATCATTAATTAATTCATTCATCTACCCATTTGTATGTATATGGACTTAGGGATATTTATTTTGCACTTTGGGCTATAGCTTTATATAATAATAATGTTGTTGTTTTAAATAGTTTTGACTAGATAGGCTTACATGTCTTTTTGATCTTTTTTTAACTTTGTGACCCTATAAATATGCTGAAGGTTCCTTTTGTATAGTTGTAGACCTAGCTCTGGAATCAACCATTTTTTATAAGATCTGATTTCTTTTGTTGGAGAATGATAATTAAAACTAAGATCTAGGGACTGAGTATCACTGGTGTGTGATTGCTTTTAATGTGTATGTATTATAGTTATTCCTATATCTGTATTGTTACTACTTTTAACTGGTTCTGTATTGATGTCTGTAATCTAGAATTTGCATCCTAGATTGATTCTGGCTTACCCTGTTACTTATATGTACCTTCTATCTTCAGCAAATCTGTAGTACATTGTTTGATGTAGTCTGTGCTAAAATAATTTTGGAATTGTTTATCTCTGTCTTGTAAAAAACCCAATTCATTATTGCCTCAGTACAGTGTTTATGTACAATTATGAGTCATTTGTAGTCAAAACAATATTTTCATGTTTTTTCTCTTCCTGATTAGAGAGTTTATGATATATTATGAAATACAATTAGATT